TTTTATTTGGTTTTCGAGGCAGGGTTTCTCTGTGTAGCCCTGGCTGTCCTGGAACTCACTCTGTAGATCAGGCTAGCCTCATACTCACAGAGATCTGCCTGCCTCTGCTTCCCGAGTGCTGGGTTTAAAGGCATGCACCACCACCACCCGACAATTGTATTTTATTTTTAATTTAAATTTTTATTTAATTTTGAGAATCTCAAACATGAGTACTGAATTTACATCCTTTCTATTCTTCTCCCCTTCTTATTCTTCCTGTGTTCCCCTACTCCCTCTCTAATTTTTGACATCTTACTTATTTTTGTTACATATATTATCTATATCTAATCTCTATATCTATCCTATCCTATTTATCATCTGTCTGTCTGTCTGTCTATATCTATCTATCTATCTATCTATCTACCTACCTACCTATCTATCTATCTATCTATCCATCTATCTATCTATCTATCTATCTATCTATCTATCTATCTATTTATCTATCTATCTATCTGGTAACTGCTGAGTCTGTTTAGTACTGTTCATATGTATATGTGTTTCTGGTTGACCACTAAGGATTGGATAACCTATCAGAAAGCTCATCCTTGGAGAGCACTGATTCTCCCTTTTTGCAGCAGCCATTAATTTTCTTTAGTTCTTCATCTAGGGGTGAGGGCTTGTGAGATTTCACCCATCTGAGTTGGCATGTCCACTGGTGGTGTCATAATGCAAGTCTTGTGTATGTGACTTTGTTGCTGAGATTTCTTGGGTGCAGCTTCCCTGTCATGTGTAGAAGACACTATCTCATCTGCTGGCTCTTACAATCTTTCTGTTTTCCTCTTCTGTGATATTCTTTGAGCCTTAGGTATAGGGGTTGCGTGTTTCAGATGTATCAATTTGGGATGGTTATCGAACAGTCAATTATTCTCTAAATTTTGACCAGTTGTTGGTTTCTGTAATAGTCCCCATCCACTGCAAAAACTTCATTGATGGGTGAGAGCCACACACACACACACACACACACACACACACACACACACGTGTCTAGAATACAGTTAGAAGTTACACTGGTTTAAGAAATGTGCAGTTCTCCTCTATGGTTCATAACCTCACCAGCCATGGGTAGTTAGAAGTTTACAGTGCCAGACATGAATTCTCCTCCTGTGGATCAGACCTTAAGTCCAATTGAGTAGTTGTAGATTATCCCCAAAATATAAATGCCACCACTGCATCACTGGGGACATCTTGCCATGTTTGTCATTGTTGTGGTTCATGGGCTTTTCAGCTGGGTAGGAATATTGGCTGTTTTTCTCCCTTGGCAGCTTGCCTATCTTCGGATAAATTGAGAGGTAGTCTTCAGGAATAGGTTTCCAGGTTAGTTCCAGATCAATTCCATGGGTTCATAGGCTTGGTATGTTGATCATGTCCTGGAGTTCTGGATTATTGTGTTCTGGTTTTGTCCTCGTTGGTGCTTGAGTGTAGCCTTTCTTTGACCTTGAACTTTATCCATGATACTCTTTCTTTTGCTTAGTGAGTCTACCAATACTGCTTTTTGCTGTGTTTTTTGTTTGGTTTCTTGAGCTTTTCATTTCCAATGTTTCTATTTTTTTCATCTAAAATATCAATTTCCTTGCTGAGAATTTCAAATATGCTGCTGATTTTCTCATCCACTTTGATGAATGCTTCCTCTATGTTTCTCACTTTCCTCTCTATTCTTCCTCCTTTTTGTTCTTACTTTTTCTTACTGAGAATATTGACAGGTGGTTTTTTTTATAAACAAATGTGCACTTTTGCTACTGACCTAGAAGTTCAGCTGTCAAAAATGCCAAATAATAAATGGAAGAATTGGACATAGAGCAGGGAGGAGATAGAGTAGAGAGGAGGGACAGTAATGCAAAACAACCCAAGAAGTCCTGATGGGTAAGGAGTTAGTTGTATAGCCCAACAAATAGTCTGCCTCTACAGAGTGACTAGTTTGAGGTTTACTTCAATGGATCATCAATAAAATGGAATCTTATTTCCTAATCTGGATACATCTTGGATTTGGGATTGTGCTAGGTAACAAAAATTTACTTGTTTCTTATCTGAGCATCTTCATACTTGTACTAAAGTGGCCTTACTACACTCGGCACATCTGTTCTGAGGAATAATCTTTTGTTGACTGAAAAGAGATGTGGAATACAGAAAGGGGCAAACAGTTGACCTACAACTGTAGTTCAAAAACAAATAGTCTCTACCCAAATGCAGAAAATGGCAGCTAAAGTAGCAATGTGGGAGCTTTGATTGCAGCATTAATTAAGCATTTTAGTTTAAAAGGTTTTTTTTTTTAATCTTGTGCCATCACTTTTGCTGTAACTGAATACTTAACCAAAGGTTATACTTACCATCAATATATATGGAAGATACAGCTTTCAGTGGGTAGCAGTAATATGGATAATAGAGCTGTATGAATACAAAATGTGTAGAGTTAATTAAGACTAATGTGCATCAGTGGAGAAAAACCTATTAGCATCCATTAGTTAGTCCTGTTTATGATTATTTGTTAACTGTCAGAAAGCTAAGGGCCTCTCATGCAAGCCAGATGAATGAGTCATTCAAAGTGATTTTCTGAAACTCAACTGTAGTACTTTACATGGAATTTTCCCTTTAATAATGTTGCTGGTGGTGTTGCAGTTTTTGAAGCAGGGTCTCACACATCCCAGACTGACCTCTAACTTCTGATTCTTCTGCCTTCCCTTCACTCATATGTGTCTTTACACATGACTGAGTAGGTAATTCTTTTTTCAAATTGAAAAATTGTAGAAGTTTATTATTAATACAGAAGAACCACTCACAAAACAGTGGAAGAATTAACTCACAGCACAGTGCAGCCTACAAAGTATTAAGGAAATGTTGTGACCTTGTCAGTGATTGGCCACTCTGTATTATTAACATCATGTTTAGACCAAGTAGGGCTATTAAATTGGATCCTCTGGTGCTGATTGATTGAATTTTACGGAATTGTGCTGACAAATATGTAAAACTTACATTGCATGTTTCATGTATAATTAGTTATCATTCAGAGAAGTCAAGATGGCTTAGATTTGGTACATAGTTACATATATTTGGCCACATATGCAAACTGAGACTTCCAGTTTTATTTTATAAGCTCTTCTCTTAGACTACAGGGGGTTGTAAAGGTGGTATCAGCAAATCAACACTATCAATATGTTTCTGGTAAATGACAGAGAAGTCATATGATTGTCCCTCAGGGTCCATGGGAGATTGTAGGACTCCTGCCAAGTGGGTAATTTTTTAAGGCAGGTATCAGTGTCTATGAAGCAATAATGCTAATGACAATGGAAACAGTATAATTCTAATTAATTTCCTGAGAGTTATTCCCCATTTGCCATTTTTAGGTTGTTTTATCATGAATGGTTGCCCAGGTACTGGAAAAAGTGTGTGTGTGTGTGTCTGTGTGTGTGTATGTATTGGCTAGTCTGTGATTTCTCAGAGCTTAATTTTTAACAAAAAATGTTGGGTTAGTAGCAATATATTTGATAAATCTGTAATTAACTCAGAATTTCAATTTATTTAATGGGGTTTAAAAATTCTGAATTAATACTTTTTTCTTTTAACTCAAAAGACCCTAACTGACAGTTCATAAAATCAATATTCTGGCTTTCATGGTGGGCAGAGGTTCAGGGGATGTGATAAAAGTCTGAGAGAAAGATTAGAATGAAAAAAGTATAAACAGCTTCAGTAAGATTCAGCCTTCAGTGATAACTCACTTAGAATCTTCCTTCCCTTGAGAATTGTGTGATTTGATCATTCTTACTTCCCATATTACCCAAAACACTTAATGTTGGTGGGTTGGAATTTTTTTTAACATAATCATCTCAGTGGGCATATGCACTTTAGACAGTATTTCCCTTCTGGGGCCATGAGCTAAGAGCTTTGTTTATTTGTGCATCTCTACCACTTAGTGTTGTTTTTTTTCTTGTTCTGTACATACTCAGGTGCATTAAATACTTGGGGAATAGGTTAATAATGATGGATGAGATGACCCCATCACTCTAGATAGAATTAATCTCTAACAGTTGGAATTTACTTTTGTGGGAAGTGGAATATTATGTGCAAAGTTTGCTATAAACTCAGGTCTTTAGGACTATTCTGCTCGACTTTTGCCTATCCCAGTGGCTATTGCTTCTACTTTTGTTTTCTGAGTCCTGCAGCCTAAAAACATTTTTGCCAAGATTACCCTGGTCATTGAGAATGTTTAGATTGTGGTGGATTAGTAACACATTCCCAGCTTTTGCTGAATGCTGATTGGCAAGCACTATGCTAGGAATGTATTGAAGAGACAATGACTTTGTACTTGCTTCATATGTTTAGAATTGGGGATTCTGACTACAGAGTATTAAGCTGGAAGTCACCATCAAGGTTTTCAACATAAGTCCCTTGTTGTAATAATCAGAACTCATGTACTGAGCTAAGAACTCAGAGCTCCCTAACTGTCCTGTAGGGCTGGTGCTTTTGTGAGCCACAGTTTGCATATAAGGCAATTTGATTCTAAAGTGCTAGGTCCTTCTCAGGATCTCACAGCTAGAAAGTAGTAGAGCCAAAATGCAAACCCAACTTCAAAGCCTGCTCAAAGGTAGGAAGCAATGTGCCAGGTTTTCATAGTACTCTTCTGGCTCTAACTTGGGTGCACAGTTTGCAGTGCTCTAGGGCTACTTCAGGTGCACAATGGACTTCTTCCAAGTATCACTTTCTCTTTTAGAAATGCTATCTTCCCAGATGAACCACTCCTTTTATGGAGGAATCGCCTTATTTCTGGGTCACCTCCTTTCTCAAGAGCTTGTTCATTCTCTGCCTTCAGCACCCAATGGCCTATGATCAACTCCTCAGCTCCTCTTGAAGCTGAACGGAACAATTTCCCAATCCTACTGTGGCAACAAGGTTGGGAGAAATCAGGAAGTAAAATTATGGGGTAGAAGTCCCCTCACGACCTGCTTTCTGTTTTGTTCTCTACAACACAGATTGAAGATGGAGGCAAGGCAGCCTTGTCCCAGAAGATGAGAACTGGTGATGAGTTGGTGAATATCAATGGCACTCCATTGTATGGCTCCCGCCAAGAGGCCCTCATCCTTATCAAAGGCTCCTTCAGGATCCTCAAGCTGATTGTCAGGAGGTAAGGTACAGGTGCAGAGGCCATTGAAAAGTACTCGATTGATAATAAAACCTCGATAAAGTGGCATCTCTATCATTATCATCAAGAAGAGAGGTATTTTATGAGAACAGAATTGTGCAGACAACTAAAGCAGAATGGACAAAGGGCTGCTGATTCCCATTTTGACATTGCCATATACTCAGTATACCCCTTCAGATAAATGCTTCTTCAGGACTCAACTACTCCGAGAACTCAGCAACTCAAAACATGCAAGGCTCTATATAACCCCGGGCTTTTTTTATCTCTGTCATAACAGAGTCATTGTTCAATCATCACATATCAACAGAGACTTAAAAGAACCCTTCTGCCAGCCATGGTAGGTTCTCTGGAGGCTATGGAAAACTCCAAGACAGAAATGTTACCCTAGTATAGTTTCACAGGTGACAAAAAGCCTGTATGGGTCAATAAAAATTAATAATATAAAGAAGCAATACAAAGTTTCACTGAATTGTTTGTGCCTTGTTAAATAGGTTGTTCAGAAAGAAATTTCTAATTAAAGAGAAAAAGAGGTCACATCAGGATTCAATGGGGTTACATTCAAAGAGGAGGTAAAGATAAGCTAAAGGATAGGTAGAATTAGAAAAATAAACCATCAGAAATAGATTTTGGCTAGATGGAGTTACACAAGCAAAAGGAAGGCCAGGGACACCATTGGGTATAGTCATTCCAATGCTGCTGCCAAAGCATCTCCCTGTTCATGTGACCTTTTATAAAATTGTATCTTTATTTTTTGAGATTATAACATAATTATATCACACCTGCCTTCTTTCCCCCCACTCTAAATCCTCTCCCCTTGTTCTCTTTCAAATTCATGGCCTCTTTTTCTTCAATTGTTGTTACTGAGAGCAGGAGAAACAGTCTTCCCCAGAGAAGAGCACACTAATTGGTTACCTAATACCAAAAGGTCAGCGCTGAAAATACAGACACACAAATAACATTGTATGGCCTTATCTGGTTGTGTTTATGTGTCTATGAATGCACACACACACACACACACACACCTTTTTTATTGTGGTGCTGGGGATGGATAACAGGGCCTCCTGATGGTAGGCAATTGTTCTCACATTTGAGCTCCACCCCTAGATCATTTCTTTCATTTTCCTGCAGCATCTCTACTCTGGGCTGCTAGAGCTCAGGCTTTTCCTTTTTGTTGGTTGGTTCCCTTTATCTTATACATATGCTTAAGTTTCTGTATCATTGTTATTAAAGAAAGGTTATCATAGTACATCAATCATATCATATGGTATAAACTATTTATAATATATTATTACAGGAAAATGTAATAATATTTATTGCATGATATTTCTCCCTTTGGCTACTGCTGTTTTCCTCCTTTTGTCTTCTATTTGTCTCAAAAGCAGAGTGTATCCTACTGCATGCACTTGGCTACCTTCCATTTAGCTTTAGGATCCCTGCAGTCTGAACTTGGCATCTATAATTCAAATTCACAAAATATTACCTTATTGTCAAAGCCAGTAGATTATTTTCAGTCTTTGTCATATATGATTTAGAGAAGACATTTGATACAATTAGTACCCGTATATGAAACTCGGACTTTCAACATATTCTGTTTACTTCATTGTGTTCTTCCTTTTTTTTTGTCCATGTTTTAGCCAGTCTCCTTTATTCCTTGACCATTACTTTGACCATGCCATAAACATTTTGTTTTAAGTAGTTCTACCTTTTCTTACTTCATCATAATATAGAAATTATCATATGGAAAATATCACAGGTTCCTCCTGTTTTGATTTTTATCTATATGTGGATGATTCTATCTCTTCTATCCCAGACCATATGACCAGTTTCCTCTTGGACAGTTATATTTAGAGTACCTATAGCATTTCAGGTATAGTATGCTGCTCCAAGCCCAACATCTTGGTGGCACTCCAGCAACCAAGCCAGAAGGAGATCCTATCATAAATTCCTCTATTGATCTCATGTAACACTCAAACAATTTATCCAAACAGTCTTTCCATCAAAGAGAAAAGGTAACAGTTTGGGATTACATGAGGCAGATTATTTAGAATCCCATTGGTTTATTGCATGATCTTCTGGTACCTAGTATTAAGCCTTACCTTTCCAGATTTAGGCATCATGGTAAGTAGTTCATTGTACTATATAATAGCTATGTTATCACTGATTGCATCTTATGTGAAGGATTGCTTTTCCTATGCTAGGGATGGAGTCCAAGGCCTTGAGTATGCTAGTCAAGTGCTCTGCCATTGATCCACATCTTCACCACTTTGTATTGGTTATGATTTATGTCTTCAGTAAGACTTCATGGAGGGGTCACTTGGTAAGAGTTCTTGTTTAGTATCTGATAGGTTATGGATGCCAGTCATTTGTTCTATCACATGGAAGTTATAGATCCTTGAATAGTGTTATTATTGTGAGGTTTAAATGATAGAACTGATATAAAATTCCTTTTACCTAATGGTTTTTCCCTTCCAAGTACTAATCAGACCTGATTGTGCTTAGCTTTCAAGATTGAGATTGTTTGGCCATAGATGCCTAATGCTGTATCAGGGAATTTCAGTCCATTCCCTTCTCTGAGGTATAAAAGAAGCATAATTGGAATAGCCAAACACTGTTAGATGGAAAGTGCATCATTAGAACTGTAATGTGCACTGTATCCTAGTCTACAGAGTATGATTTGCTGGGTAACCAAGTGGGGTTGGCAAGTATCTGAACAGAAAACATGGCTCTTGGTGAGATTCTGGTTGTAGAAAGAAAGGGGCATTTTAGAGTATGAATGCTTTAAGAGAAGTTTCTGAGTTTAGTTCCACAAAAGGATGTGAGGATGCTGGGGTTTTAACCACTCACCCTTTCTTCTTTCTCTACTATAGCAATACTGCCACTACAAAGCATCACTTAAAGAGTGGCTATAATTGCAGCCTTGGAGATAACAGGGGCCTTTGGTTTTCATGGGGGTAAAAGGCTCTATCACTCCCAGTACCTACATTTTCTACCTTTTCAGCACCCCCACTTCAACCCTTATTACTTGAGTCATTCCATGCATAATTTATGAGATGATGCTGCCCTCTTGTGGAAAACTTAACCTTCCCTTATGGATTGCTGTGGACAT